GGGGGGGGGGGAAGGGGGTGGCCCTGGAGCCTGGCGCGGCAGCGGAGGGGCGCCGCGGAGAAGCAGGTTCACGCGGCCCCGTGGGGAGAGCCAGGTGGCAGCGAGAAGGACGAGTGGGACCGGGAGTTTCTTCCACGAGGAATGGGAAGGTTTGTGGGTCCTGTAAGTCTCTAGACGCCCCTTCCCCTATCCCCTGTCCAACACAGTAGCCACTGTCGGCACGTGGCTGTGGAGCACTGAAACAAACGTGCTAGTCCAAATTGAGAGGTGCGGAGGGTAAAGTATACCCCGGATTCTGAAGACTTACTACAAAAAGAAAATGTAAAATAGCTCACTCATGATGTATGTTGATGACCTGTTGAAATTGTAACATATTAGATATATTGGGTTAAATGAAGTATATGATGAAAATTAATTTCACTTGTTGCTTGTTCTTTTACGAGGATACAGCACTGGTCCAGAGGTCCTGCAGAGGAAGTAACAACCGGCTGGGCTGTCTTAGCAGGCGCCAAGGAAAGAAACAGAAGGTGGGTCTCCTATGTCAAGAGGCCTCCTGCCCCGGAAAGTTGGGCCCAAGAATTACATAGGCAGAACCCTTAACGAGAGCAGGAATGTCCAGGACATTTCCTGGAATGTCCAGAGCGACAGCCCCACCAGTTTAAAGCCCGTTTCCCCTCCCGCCTCCAGTACTACACTCCAACCCTCGGGAATGAAAAGATCTTCCTGAGGAGAGGGCTGGTATCTGTGCAAAATGTATTTCTGCTGACCACTGACATATGATGAGAGGGTCGGGCATTAAGGGCGGCACTAGAGAGCAGGGTAGCCTCTCCCACAAAGCTGTAGGATCTAGAGCTGTGGGGTCTTGGCGTTTCACTGCACTAGGCCTGCCCTTTGGGGCCCATTCACTGGTCAGGCTGAGGCCCAGGAGAGGAAGACGGCTCCAGAGGTGGCTGTGTACCCTGAGTGGAGCCTGGAGTCTGGCCTAAGTCACCAGGGGTGGGGGCAGCATTCTGCCCAGCCCAGATATGGCTGGCATTTGGATCTCAGTTCTCTGACAGCTGCTTGGGAAAAATAAATGTTTATTTATTTATTTATTTATTTATAAAGGAGGGTCTCCCCCCCTTTTTTTTAAGATTATTTATTTATTTGACAGAGAGAGACAGAGAAGGAACACAAGCAGGGGGAGTGGGAGAGGGAGAAGCAGGCTTCCCTCGGAGCAGGGAGCCCGATGTGGGGCTCAATCCCAGGACCCCCGGGTCATGGCCTGAGCCGAAGGCAGACGCTTAA